GTCATGCTGGGCCTGTGTGTAAGAGAAGGAAACATTGCCTTGTCCTGTGTCATCTCAGAGGTCATTGGTGTGTTTCAGGCCATTGTTGTAGTCATTGAGTTTCAACATTTCACAGAGGATTTCCCTCATTTCTGTGGCCGACCATTTAAAAAAAAGTCAATTTCAAGTGATTTGTCTTCCTGATGTTCTATCCAAGTCAAATGAGTCCAAGTCGTCTAACAATTGTCCTTGCTTGTAAAAAGCATGGTGGGTGTGTTCTTCTAAGATTGATTTGTTCTTTCTCTGGTAGTCCACGGTCTGTTCGCTATTCTGCACAAACACCACAGTTCTGTCATATCCATTCTCCTCTGTCTTCCTCACGCGTTGTTGGTTGTGAGCTGTCATTAATTTTGTCTTCACTCTTAGGGTTTGTAATTTTTCATTTGCTGGGGTTTAATGAGCCTTGGTGACACAGCGTGTTACCTGTTGGGCTGTTAATGGAATGAATCCACCACTTCCTCCAAGGGAGAACAAGGCCATCTGCTCCCACTAAGATTCACAGCCTTGAAAACCCGAGGAGGTTTACCAGGAGGTGGAATTTACTTGCCCACGGTGGGCTTCATTTTGGAGTTTATGTGATGTTGAAACATGCCAGTTACTCAGGGATGAGCCTTAAACAAAAAGGAAAGTCAGTGTGTTTGCATCCCTTTGACTCAGAATCCGCGGGAGTCAGAACTAAAAGAGATCTTTCTGGAATGACAGGCTGAGCGATGTCTGGAGCGATGTGTTAACCTTCAGGTTAGCAGTCAGATGTAATCCATCTGTACTATCTACAGGCCTTAAAGTTGTGCAAAACCAGCTAACACACTGCTGTCGAATCCACTTAGACACGAGGACCCCCAAGGACAGAGCAGAACCACTCTTCCACCAGGATTGCAAGGCTCTAAGTCTCTGTGGAAGCAGACTGCTTCAAGCTTGTCTTTAGAAGTAGATGAGGGACTCAAACCATTGACCTTTTGACTGGCAATTCAGTGCTTACCAAGCCAACAAGCTGGATTATGGATAAATGTATCAATTAAGACACAGCTTAATGTGTGTCATCCTCAGTGTCTCTGATACACCAAGGACGCATCTCAGGTATCAGACAAGCCTCGCTTACCTACTCACTTCTGACGTCCTGGTCGTTTTACTGATCTTCCTTTTTCAAATCAAAGGTAGTAAGTCAAAGTTTAGAGTGTTGCTATGAATATATTAAGCTGTACTGAGTTAAATCACTAGACATGTATCTTGCCTGGCACAGAGTAAGAGACGTTAGCTTATATCAGATTCATATGGAAAGAATCAATGAAGAGGCTCAATATCAGCAGTTAAAACAAGGCCAGAGCGTTTCTCCAAAAAGCTGAGCATGGGAATCCCATAAGACCTGAGCTATTCCACTGCTAGAGATATGCCTCAAGGAAAACAGAACTGAGCCACAGTCAGAGATTTCCGTGCCTGTGTTTATAGCTCAGAAGCAGGAGTGGCATCCACTTTCTAAACAACATACCTCTGGAAACTCTATGAATTTAAGTTTCTCATGCTTGAAAGACTGTTCATGTTGTGGATTAGGGAATTGGAAAGATTCAATGAGTACTTGGAAAGACAGTCTAATAGCACACATAGATCAATGGTCATAAATTATATGGGATATAGTGTATATGAATGATTGGATAGAACACAATGAAAATGATTGTATGAAAACCAATAAAAGAAGACAAAAAAAGACCAAAGTGCTCCTGGAGAAGTGGGGGGGGGGGGACACTGAGAAAATAAGGCTGGGGGCTGACTGTGCAACACAGCATCAACTACTCATGTAGAAGTTCAAACAGAACTTGAAAATGGAAATAAGTCAATAAGAAAAAAAATAAGTTATGGACTCAGTCTCATCAGAATTTAAACACCATCTCATTAATTGATTGGATGCATTGAATATTAATTATTGAAGACAAAATGAGCAGTGAGATGACATCAAAGATATCATCCATGAAGAAAGAAAGAAAAGGACTCAGAGAGGAAGAAAAAACCACCATAAATGTCAGAAGAGACTGTAACTGGAAACAGAACTTAGAGAAAGTACAACGAAGGAAAGAAATGCTGAGCTAAGAAGCAGAGCAGAAGATAATCAAAGAGCAGCTTGAGAAGACAAGGTATTGTAAGAAAATGTGGAAAGAGATGGACTTAGAAAACCAAGAGGGAAGAACACCAGCCGTCTCTCATGCTGAAAGAACAGAGCAATAGATTCAAGCCTTGAGTTGCAATACTGAGAGATGATATGGGCAAAATCTTGAATGATGTAGGAAGCATAAAAAGTAAGATGGGAGCATCTGTTTGTTAAAAAAAGTTTTCAAATTTTGTAAATAAAGTAGTATAATTTTAAAAAAGAAGAGGGAAAGAACACACAGAATCGTTGTAACAAAAATAATTCATTGATACCGAAACATTTTAGGAAGTATATGATCAAGACTGAGGTGCGCCTGATCCAGGCCACGGTCTTCTCAATTACATGCGGTGCATCAGAGAGTTGGACAATGACTAGGGATGTTAGAAGGAGAATTGATGCTTTTGAGCTGTGGTGCTGGAGAAGAATATTGAATATACCATGGACTGCTAAGAAAACAAACAGGTTCATCCTGGAGAGGGTGAAGCAAGGTTGCTCCTTGGAAACAAGGATTCTGAAGCTTCATCTGACATACCTTGGACATGTTGCAAGGAGGGACCAGTCCTTGGAGAGGGACATCATGCTTTGGATGGTGGAGGGACAGCACAGGAGAGAAAGACCCTCAATGAGATGGATTGACTCAGTGACTGGGGTATTGGGGGTAGCTGTATCAGAGACAATAATGTTGGTTCAAGATAGAGCAGGGTTCAGAGCTGCTGTCCATAGGGTCACCTTGAGTCACAAGTAATTAGATGGCTCATAATAACCACCACAACAACATGATCAAGAACTAATGGCAATGAGTGAAGAAATTCTAGATGCGCTGAAGGCACAGGCATGAAATAAGACCCCAGGTGTTGAAGGAATCCCAATTGACATGTTTCAAACAACAGATGCAACCCTGAACTTGCTCACTACTGCAAGTGACTGGAAGAGATCCATTTTCTTCCCCAGTTCCCATAAAAGATGATCCAACAGAGTGTGGAAGTCTTCAGACAATGCCATTATTATCATATGCAATTAAAGTCTTCCTCAAGATTATGCAAAAAATGGCTAGAACAGTATATCAACAGAAAAACTGCCAGAAATGGATTTGCCAGAAACTTCCAAGCTAGATTCAGAGGAGACCTTGACACCAGGGCCTCACTGATGGCAGATAGACTTGGCTGAAATAGAGAATACCAGAATAATGTGTACTTGTGTTTTATTGACTGTGCAAAGGCATTTGACTACGTGGATCATAACAAATTATGACTAACATTGAGAAGAATGGGAGGCCCAGAAAACTTAATATACACCTGGACCAAGAAGCTGTTGTCCAAACAGAACAAAGGAAACTGTGTGGTTTAAAATCAGGAAAGATGTGTGTCAGCGTTGTAGCCCTTCTCCTATTCAAGCTGTGCACTGAGCACTTCATTTAAGAAGCTGGACGTGAAGGCCAAGGTAGCAGCAGGATTTGAGGAAGACACTCATCAACAACCTGCATTACTCAGACACATCTTACTGAGAATAAAGAAGCCTTGGAACACTTGCTGAAAAGGATCAAAGAGTACAGCCTTCTGTGTGAATTACATTTCAACGTCAAGAAAACCAAACTCCTCGCCGCTGGACCCATAGACAACATCAGGATGGCTAAAGATTGAAGTTGTCAACAGTTTACTCAACACCCATGGTAGCACCAGTCAACGATACAAAAGACGCGTTGCACTGGGATAACGAGCAGTTAAGGATCTATCTAAAGTGCTCTAGAGAAAGAACATCCGTTTGAAAACCAAGGCGTGCCTAATCCAAGTTACACTCCTTTCAATGACTTCCTAGGCTTTTGAAGACTGAATGATTAATAAAAATGACAAAAAAATAACTGATATCATTGAGTTGTGGTGCCGGAGAAGCATACTGAATATATCTTGGACTATGAAGGTACAAGCAAACCCGTCTTGCAGAAGGACAAACAGGCTGCTCAGTAGAGACAAGGATGGTAAGAGTTCAACTCACATACTTAGGGCATGTTGCCAGAAGGGACACAGTCCTTGGAAAAAGATATCATGCTGGTAAAGGCGGAGGATTAGAGAAAGAGAGGAAGACCCTCAATGAGATGGACTGACACAGTGAGAGGAATAATGGGTTCAAGCTCATTAGAGAAGGTGAGGTAGTGCTGGACAGCTTTGTGAGTCCACGTTGACTAGATGGCCCCTAACAACAACAACAACATCACAAAGTATCAAGGACTTTGAATTCTATCAATATTCGCATCACCCCACATACACACATGTGCTGAAGACATACACACACAATCACATAGGTGATCCGTTGGTGTGCGGTAGAGGGAGAGGCCACATTATATCGGATGTTCTCAAAGCAAAAAGGCCAGACAGAGAAGAGAAATGGAAGATCCCTTAGGAGTGGAATCCAGAAGATGGCTATTTAACACCACGCATGGTTGCAGGGCATGTTCTTCTGAGGTGAGTGTTAGGGTAGTGTCTGAGATACCCAGAGCGGAAGAGTCAGGAAACAAAGAAATGTTGCTCGGCACTGAACACCATCCATAACTCAGAAAATATCCCCCAGATATTTTAAATTTGATCTAATTCAGTAAAGACCAAAACTTTGCTGACCAGATAGACTGGACTTGCCTCCTGTAACCTTGCTTAAATCAAGCTGAATCTAAGCTTCAACTCCTCATTGAATGTTTTCCTCCCTTTCATGAGCAAATATTTGGGAGAAGAAATTATATTCCAATGAACGGAATTCTAAGAGTGTGAAGTCTTTCCTCCTTTATTTCCAGACGCAGTGCCAGGTGCTGTAGGGGGCCTCACACACGGGCATGGTCCAGCACGTGCGGATGCTGATTGAGCTTGGACACTCTGCAGGAACTAGCCGGGTATGTACTCCACACAGCTGACAAGCCACCCTTCGATCTTGGCTCCCCATGACTCGTTATTCCCACCTCTTTAGTTAAGTCTTCAGAGGCTCATGACCGGGGAAGATCAAAACCAGACATGGATAAGTGAGTTCTTCTTGCTGGGACTGTCCAGTGACTGGGCCACACAGGTGGCACTCTTCGTCCTGTTTCTGGCCATGTACTTGGTGACGATTGTGGGAAATGTCCTCATCATCCTCCTCATCAGACTGGACAGCAGGCTCCACACCCCCATGTACTTCTTCCTGAGCGTCCTGTCCTTTGTGGACCTTTGTTACGCAAACAGCATTGTCCCACAGATGCTGGTCCATTTCCTCTCAGCACACAAGTCCATTCCTTTCCATCGCTGTGTGCTCCAGCTATACGTCTCCCTAGCGATGGGAGGGTCTGAGTTCTTCCTGCTGGGAGCCATGGCCTATGACCGCTACGTGGCCGTGTGCCACCCCCTGCATTACACAGTCATCATGCACGGAGGGCTGTGCCTAGGGCTGGCTGCAGGCTGCCTGGCAGCTGGCTTCTCCAACTCCCTGATGGAAGCCATCATCACCTTCCGGCTTCCACTGTGTCACAACGTTATCAATCACTTTACCTGTGAGACTCTGGCCGTGGTGCGGCTATCCTGCGTGGACATCTCCTTCAACAAGGTCATGGTGGCCATCTCCGGCTTCGTGGTCATCATGCTCCCCTGCTTCCTGGTCCTGTTCTCCTACACTCGGATAGTGGCTGCCATCCTTCGCATCCGCTCCACACAGGGACGCCGCAAAGCCTTTGGGACCTGCGCCTCCCACCTCACGGTGGTCTCCATGTGCTTCGGGGCTACGATCTTCACCTACCTGGGGCCACGGTCTGCCTCTTCAGAGGAAGAGGAGAAGATGGTGGCCCTGTTTTATGCCGTGGTTGCTCCCATGTTGAACCCCCTGATCTACAGCTTGAGGAATAAGGATGTTATGGCTGCGTTCAGGAAGGTGTTAGAGAAATTGAGAGGTAAATGCTAAAGATACTAACACCTTCTTATTACCTGTCCTCAAAACCAAAAGAGAATGCATGACTTGAGAGGCAAGACTCCCACACTTACACTACAGAAGACTCTGGTGGTCTAACCCTGTGTGTGAATGAAACATCCTCCTCTGTCCGACTAATGGTCTTCTTTATGTAGGTTAACTCTACTTATGGGCCAGTGATCTATGGGGGGCTTGGCTTACCTGTTTGCTTCTCAGGTGTCTAGGAAATTTATCTGCCCACTTTTAATTTTGTCTTGTGCCCTGAATAAAGGAATAAAATCTGACTTGACCAAGTAAATCTTGTTTCCTATCCTTATTCTGCTTTTCATTAGCCATACAGTTCGAATCCAACAGCTGCTCTCTAAGAGAAGGACAGGTAATCTCCTCCAGTGCAATTCATTGCCTCCAAAAAACCACTGGAGGGTCAGCTATGATTTGGTAACAACAATTGATATATTATTTGAACAAAATTATGGTTTAATTTTTATTTGGGGCAGAAAAAAGTAATTCCAATATTACAGAGTGGTATCAATATTACACATAGTTTATATAAACTATCTGCATGCACTTTTGACTTGTGGTGCTGGAGAAGAGTATTGAACATACCATGAACTGCCAAGAGAAACAAACAGGTTTGACTTGGACAGGGTGAAACCAACTTTCTCCTTGAAGGTAAGGATTCTGATGCTCCGTCTCACATACTTTGAACATGTTGCCAGAAGTGACCAGTCCTTGGAGAAGATCATCATGCTTGGAAGGGCGGAGGGACAGCACAAGAGAAGACACCCTTGTTTGAGATGGATTGACATAGTAAATTGGGGATTGGGTAGAGGTGTGTGAGACTCAGGATAGGGTGGGGTTCAGAGCTATTGTACATAGGGTCTTTGAGTCTCAGGCAACTCGATGAAATGCAACAACAACTGCATGTAATAATATTAATAAAGCCGCTCATTATTTTAGCTACACTACAAGTACTGCAGCTTCCAATATGGATTGAGGCTCAATGTCAAGAAGACAAAGTTTCTCAACACTGGACCAATTGGCAGCATCAGGATGGATGGTGAAGAGATTGAGACTGTTAACAACTTTAGTCTGCTTGGCTCCACTGTCAACACTCTTGGCACCAGCAGCCAGAAAATTAAAAGATGTATTGTGATGGGAAAGTCTGCTGTTAGGGAACTTTCCAAAGTTCTGAAGAGCAATGGTGTCTCTCTGGAAACTAAGGTGGATCTAATACAGGCCATGGTCTTTGCAATCACTTGTTATGCATCAGAGAGTTAGACAATGACTAGGGAGGATAGAAGGAGAATTGATGCCTTTGAGCTGTGGTGCTGGAGAAGAGTATTGAGGGTACCATGGACTGCTAGGAAAACAAACAGATTCATCCTGGAGAGGGTTAAACTGGACTGCTCCCTGGAAGCAAGGATTCTGAGGCTTTGTCTAACATATTTTGGACATGTTGTAAGGACGGACTGGTCCTTGGAGAGGGACATCATGCTTGGCAGGGTGGAGGGACAGCGCAGGAGGGGAAGACCCTCTATGAGGTGGATTGATTCAGTGACTGGGGTAATCGGGATGGGTATATTGGAAACAGTGTGATTGGCACAGGGCAGAGCAGAGTTTAGGGCTGCTGTACATAGGGTCACTATGAGTCGCAAACGACTCGGCGGCACAAAGCAACAACAACAACATATATATACACACACATATATATATGGCAGAGGTTTTGTGGCCTAGTAGGTAAGAAGTTACGCTTTCAATCCAAAGACAGAAAGTTTGAATCCATAAGCTACCTCATGGGTGAAAGATTGGCAATCTCCTGTGCCTATTGTTGTAGTTATGTGCTGTCAAGTCACCTGTGACTCATAGGGACCTATGTACAACAGCCCCATACCCTGCCCTATCCTGTGCCAATCTCACCGTCTCTGACACACCTACCCTAATTACACCAGTCACTGAATCAATCCACCGTATAGAAGGTCTTCCTCTCCTGCACTGTCCCCCACTCTCCCAAGCACAATGTCTCTCCTCCAAGGACTGGTTCCTCCTTGCAACATGTCCAAATTATGTCAGACAAAGCTTCATAATCCTTGTCTTCAAGGAGTAGCCTGGTTTAACCCTCTCTAGGATGAATCTGTTCGTTTTCTTAGCAGCTCATGGTATATTCAAAACTCTTTCCCAACACCACAGCTAAAAGACAACAATTCTCCTTTTATCATCCTTAGTCGTCGTCCAGCTCTCTGATGCATAGCAAGTGACTGCAAAGACCATGGACTGTATCAGACACACCTTAGTCTCCAGAGTGCCATCATTGCTCTTCAGTACTTTGGAGAGGTCTCTGACAGCAGACTTTCCCATCGCAATACATCTTTTGATTTCCTGGCTGCTGGTGCCAAGAATGTTGACTGTGGAGCTGAGCAAACTAAAGCTGTGAACAGTCTCAATATCTATATTAACTTTTACCTGTGCATATACAGCCTTGAAAAACATGATGGACAGCCAGCTCTGAGTTCATTCTACCTCAACAGACATGTACAACAACTATCTCTCTCTCTCTCTTTTTATATGTATATATGAATCTATCAATCTATTATCTATTTCTCTCTGTTCCTGTAAGCCTGATGCCAGTCTTCTTCTTTAAGTAATCAACAATCTGTTTTATGAAGATGACACAACCTTGCTTGCAAAAATTCAAGAAGACTTGAAGCACTTATTGAAGAAGATCATATACTACAGCCTTCTACGTAGATTGCATCTCAACAGCAAGAAAACAAAAATCCTCCCCACTGGACCAATAGCATCATCATAGATGGAGAGAAGACTGACATTGTCAATTGTTGTTTGAATCCACAATAAATACCCATGGTAGCAGCAGTCAAAAAATCAAAAGACATACCACATTGGGAAAATTGCTGTAAAAGACCTTTTTCAAGGACTTGCAGTAGGACTTACTGAACATTTTGGCTTCTTTAAGCCCTTGTCTCAACACCTCCTAAAAACAACAACAAGCCCTTATCTTTAAGGGGATCCAGCTGCTTTAATTTCCTATCCTGCTAGAAAAGCTGGGCCAAATTACCACCTTTAGATTCCCCCGGGGGTGTGGTCTAGGCACCAGCCTCCAATAAAAGAAGTTTAGCAGCTGAACTCTGAGGCCTTTTTCCGTTCCTCACCTGGGATAGCCGCGCTCTGAAGAGCTGCATGAGTTTCTCAGGACCTTCTGAATTTCTGAACCGGAAGAAACAGCAACTAGAAATGCGGGATCTAGAAGAACTGGAGAAACGGTATATTGTTGGAATGACGGACTGGTTTGATAAATTAAACACTGGAGGCGTTTTTGATCTCCATGTCTGATGGCTAATCTGGAATGATATTTTTGCAACGGGCTGTAATTACAGTTGGTGTCAGTAGTGCGGTTGATTGCAAGGGCCTACACTCACTATAACAGGTGTCTTCAGAGAAAAGGGGGTAAAGAAGAAAGTGAGAAACCTTTGATTTCTGGATAGGATAAGGAAGACCCATTGATTAAAGCAGCCATTGTGTTACAGTCAGTTTCCTGAAGCAAAAGTTATTTATGGCCCGAGAAATTGGCTAATTGGATGCATGTGGAAATACAGAGGGGTAAGGAGAGAGCAAAACTTACAATTTTTTGGTTTCTGTTGTCAGTACTGACAGTAAATGCAACAGAAAAGAATGTAGGAGCGAAGACGACTGGGATCAGTACTAAACCAAGTCCTACCAGGACAGTGCTGCCCCTTAGCCTCAGGGTTGACCTGGAAGGGACAAATCATGCAGGAACCAGAAAGATAGCTTTGCGCCTGTATGCAAGAATTCCCAAGGGTCCAATGGGATGGTTGTACCTTCACCCCCTCTAGGGTTAAGGATGCACACTAGCATCTTGCCTTGTTGTGGAGACAGTCCATTGGTGGTGAACCTCTGTAACCCTGCTGTTGTTGCTGTTAAGTGCCGTTGAGTCATAGACCACCCATAGCGACCCTATGAACCAAAGTCTTGAACACAAAACGTTCATCTTTTCGCAAATTCATAGAGTTTCCAGAGGCAAGCTTTTTTGGAGGTGGATGCCTACTCAACGTAAATAGGAAAGGACTGGAGGGAAGTCTCGCTAGATTGGTCTTGTTACCTGTAACTGGGACTAGCACAGTCACTGAACCTGATGATCGTTTCCAAGGTGGAAAAGTGTGAGTGAAAAGACCTGATCAATGGAAGCAAGGGAAAATAATAGCTGAAGGGAAAGAAATGAGTAAATGGGTCGCGCCACGGGAGAAATCGCATTGTATTAAGACTCTGAGAAAGGAAATGTCTTTTTCTAGAAATCAAAAAAGCATGGCCAAGATATACTTGATGAATGCTTGTTATTTCTTTTTTAGTTTTTTTTCTTATGTGGTAATGTTGGTATATATTGTGAAAATGAATATGAAGAACATGCTATGTTAAGATATAAAATTAAGATTTTTATTGGCTTAATATTAAGATAAATTGTAAAAATGATTATGTTTTTAAAAATTTCTCTACTAGATGTAATGAGATATACGTAAAGAATGCTTGATGGGATATATTGTAATTTAGAAGAAGCATATAAGTCTTTGAATATTAATTGGGTACACAAAAAGAGAAAAACTGCCTTAAAGAAATGCTTATAATAAGTAGTAGAATTTGACAACGGTGAGTGAGTATAGTGCTTGGTCTGGGAGAGAGTAAGCCCCACTCAGCCCTCTGAGGAAAGTTACATTTGGAAGAATGTAAGTAGAGAAGAGAAACTTTGCCAATGTACCAAGGCAAGGTGAAGTTGGTGTCCACCAGAGAGAGCCCCCTTTCTGGAAGCTGGAGAGTATGCTTACCTCATGGTGACCACCAGGGTCCCCTTGATGAGTAGAAGTGGGAGACACACAGCAATGAAGAGACAGTTTAGATGTGTCCCATTGGCCCTACCCACCTAGCATAATGAAAGGATAAGTGAAGAAACAT